GTTATGTTTTCGGTTGGCTTTCTTAGCAACAGAGCTTGAGATTGGGATTCTTGTGCAAGTCATTTATTGACAGTACTCTCAGGTGAATTCTGTAAGGTAGTGAGGGAAACTGAAGTGGCCATGGGAACAAATGTAATCAAGTGGTTGACCAGCAGCACCAGTACCTACTGGGAACGTAGTATAAATGCATGTTCTTAGGCCTACTCCAAATCAACAGAATCAGAAATTTGGGAGTGAGTCCCTCCAATCTATGTTTTGATAAGCCCATCTGGTCATTTTGATTCATGGTAAATTTTGAGAACTGTAGGTCTAAATAAAATTCGGTTCACCAGAAGTCTAGTCTCAGCCTGATTCCTCAGGGAGCTCTAGAGCATGAATAGCATCACAAAGGTGTCCTATCTGAGGCAGTGGAGTTCTGCGCCCCTGTTTCATTTAAAAAATGATTATATAGTAAAAATGAATTTTCTAACTTCTTTTATACTGAATTTTAACCCATTTGGATTCATGTTACCACCACCACAATCAGGATACAGAACAGTTGTGTCATTACCCAGGCTCCTTTGTGCTAGCCCTTCATCATGGTACCCTTCCTCCCCCTATATTCCCTGGCAACCACTCATCTCCTATTGTTATAGTTGTCTTTGAAAAAAGTGTCATATAAATAGAACCATGCAGCATGTAAGCTTATGACAATGACTTTGTTGACTCAGCATAAAACCTTTGAGAGTCATCCAAGTAATATTTTTTTTTATTGCTGAGTAGTATGCCTTTGTATAGATGTATCACAATTTGTTTATCCACTTATTTGCTGAAAGACTTTAGGATTGTTTCCAGTATTAACAATTATGACTAGAACTGTTATGAACACTTGTGGGCAGGTGTTTATGAGAATATAAATCTTTATTTCTCTGTAAGGTTGCTATGAGTCGGAATTGACTTGATGCTATGGGTTAGGGTATGTAACTAGATATTGGATTGCTGGGTCTTATGACTTTATAAGAAATTGCCAAATTGTGTTTGTTCCATAATGATGCTATAGACTTTGAATTGCTGGGTCATACGACTTTATAAGAAACTGCCAAATTCTGTGACAATATCAAGCAAGCTGTTTGCCCTGGAACCATCCAGGCAAGAAAAGTCAACCCAGAAGGGTAAACTCCTTTCTAAGACTAATACTCAAAGGGAACACACGGTCTTGGAATGCTTGCTGATAGCCATCCTGGACAACTTATGAGTGGAAGCAGGGGAAAGGCAGCAAAGATGACAGGCTGAGATTGGCCATGTCCATAGATGCCCAATGACCTTGGAATGAGAGAGAGAAGAGGTTGGGAGTGGGCTTGAAGTTCAGGCTGATTTGTGAACTCCTGAGTCCAAAGACACTGACCTGTGTGTGTATATCATTGCCAGTAATACAATGTTTAGGTTACTGTATGTTTATAATTAATGATTCTTAAAACCGAGTAGTATGATTCCTCCAATTTTATTTTTCCTTTTCAGAATCATTAGCTATTTTAGTACCTTTGTCCTCCCATATTGTATTTAAATTGTCAGTATTCACAAAAACGTATGCTAGGATTTTAGTTAGACAATGTGATTTGATGGTATGTGTTTTTGATGTTTCAAGTTTTTTTATATATATTTTTATAACATTTTGTAGTTTTAATATATATAACCTGTATATATTTTGTTAGGTATTTACCTAATTATTTCATTTTTATTAAGGTACTGTAAGTACTGTTAAAAACATTCAGTGTCTAATTGTGCACTGGTAGATTGAGGATGTTTTCATTTCGTACTCTGCCATTTACTCTCAGGAAACGGAACAAGAAAAAGTTCAAAAGTCAACCATCAGCTGGAAAATTGATGCTTACAATTTTCTGGGATTTTCAAGGGCCCATGTTGGAACAGTATCAGGAAAAAGGTTCAACAATCAACAGTGCTTCTTACAGTGAGATACTCATTGAAGAGCTGAAGCCTAAACTTCAGATTAAATGCAGAGGACTAAGGAACTCTGGTAGCGTAGTGGTTACGAATTGGGCTGCAAACCGCAAGGTCAGCAGTTCGAAACTACCAGCTGTTCCGCTGAAGAAAGATGAGGCTTTCTGCTCCTGTAAAGATTTACAGCCTCAAAAACCCTGTACAGGGTCACTGTGAGTCAGAACCGACTCCATGGCACATAACAATCAACCATTATCCAAGGATGTTGTGGTCACATGACAGTGCATTTCCACACACCTCTGCCCACACGGTTGACGCTCTTCAAAAATTTTATTTTGAGGTGTTAAAGCATCCTCCCTATAGTCTTGATCTTGCTCCATAGAACTTTCACCTGTTTGGTCCCATGGAAGTAACCCTTGGAGGATAAAGATTCATCTCTGATGAAGATGTGAAGACCGTGGTATATTCGTGGCTTGCAGCTCAGCCTAAAACATTTTTTAATAAGGGAATATGGAAGCCTGTTGACAGATGAACAAAGTGCATTGAAAATCAAGGAGATTATGTTGAAAAATGCTGTATTTGTCTTTTCTAAAAGTTTATTTAAAATAAATTATACAGTCAGAGTGTGAATAAATTTTGACTCACCCTTGCATATATACAGGTATGACTGAAATTTGTTTACTTGTATCCTGTGACTTTGTTAAACACATTTTTAAACTTTTACCATCACTCTGTCAGCTTGTTGTACTGTGGTGGCTTGAGTGTTGCTGTGATTCTGGAAGCTATGCCGCTGGTATTTTAAATACCAGCAGGGTCACCCATGGTGGACAGGTTTCAGTGGAGCTTCCAGACTAAGACAGACTTGGGAGAAGGCGATGGACTACTCTGGATGATTAGCCACTGAAAACCTTATGAATAGCAGTGGAACATAGATATGGTATGGAATATGAAAATATTATCAACAGTAGCTGAAATGGATCATATATGCAATGCCAGGAAATGAGCTCCTCAGATTGGATGGCACTCAAAATACTGGGGAAGACTTGCCTTCCTCAAAGTAGAGTTGACCGTGATGATGTGAATGGGACCTTCATTTATTAATGGGTCACAACACAAAATAAGGAGAAACAGCTGCAAGTGTCCTTTAATAATAGGAACATACGAAGTTCTGGCCTAGGAAAATCGGAAGTTGTCAAGATGAAATAGAATGCATAAAGATTGACATCCTAGGCATTGGTGAGCTGAAATGGACTTACCCTGGCCATTTTGAATGTGGCAGTCATGGTTTACTGTGCTGGGAAAGACAAATTCAAGAGGAATGTCATATTTATCAAAAAGAATATTTTCAGTGTCTATCTTGAAGTACAGTGCTGTCTGTGATAGAATAATTAATATACATATACAAGAAAGACCAGTTAATACCACTGTTTTTCAAATTTACTCAGTAACCATTAAAGCCAGTGATAAAGATATTGAAGAATTCTACCAACTTCTTCAGTCTGAAAGAGGTCAAACATGTAATCAAGATGCTTTGATCATTACTGGTGATTAGTATGCAGAGGTTGGAGAAAAAGAGGAAGGATCCATACTTGGGAAATATGGCTTTCATGATAAAAATGATGCTGGAGATCTCATGATAGAATGTAATTAGACCATTGACTTATCCATTGCAAATACCTTCAGTTAACATTGTCACAAGTTTTATATCAGTGTTGTTAGTGCTGTCAAGTTCATTCTGACTTATAGAGAACCTGTATACGGTTTTTGAGGAGTGGCTGGTGAGTTTGAATCACTGACCTTGTGGTTCCAGTTGACCTTATGGTCGAGTGCTTATGCTACAGTGCCACATCAGGTATCCTTTACATCAGTGGTGGTGGTGATGTGCCATGGAGTTGATTCCTACTCATAGCAACCCTGTATAGGGTTTCCAAGACTGTAAATCTTTACAGGAGCTGAAAACCTCATCTTTCTCCCACAGAGCTGCTGGTAGTTTTGAACTGCTGACCTTGAGGTTAGCAGCCTGACTTGTAGCCACTATGCTACTTATGTAATAAGCTGTTTGTGTTGCATCCTTGTAAGCACAGAGATTTAAAAATATGCATCACTATCCACAGTTACACAAGAAGTAAAGAAAGGGTTAAGTTTCCATTCGCCCACTTCAATCTGTGTGTCCTGGGGCAAATTAGTGACCTTCTAATCTGTGAAATAGGATAATAATAATAATGTCAACACACAGGATTGTTGTGATGATTAAATTATATAATGCAAGTGAAGAGTTTAACAAAGTAACTGGCATATACTAACTTTGTCAATGTAAACTATTATTACCCTATAATAGAAAAGTTACATTTAGGAACTCTTTGAATTTCACAATAGATATTTTTTTTGTTTAGTATTGTTTGCTATAAATATAGACAATTTATTACATCTATTATGTATAAACTGATTATTCTTAGGTTCTTTGTTATAACCTTTGATCTTATTTATTTTCTGTGGTTCAAGCTTACCAGCTGCTCCTTGGAAACCGTATACAGGATGGCTATGCTTTGGAATTGACTCGATGGCATTTAACAACAACAACAACATTTAGTAACATGTTTATCTGTATAAAGTAGTAGTGAATGATACAGGAAACTGTGTCCACTAATCCTGGACAATGCAGAGAAAACAATCGACATTAGAAACAAGACAAAGCCTAAATTTTTGGTACGGGAAGCATGTGTACTCACCCATTTAAGTAGTGACTTTGTAATGTTTTGTTGTTGTTGTTAAGTACCGTGGAGTCAATTCCGATTCATATGACCCTGCACAGGGTTTCCGAGGGTGCAAATCTGTACGGGAGCAGAAAGCCTTATCTTTCTCCCATGGAATGGCTGGTAGTTTAGGGGCTCTTAAATACAGGGGCAGTGATTTATCTTTTGCTGTATCATGCTTCCCCTTCTTTACTAATACATGCATATGCAAGTTGGTTTCCTATATCTTTCACAGTAGAATGATAAGCACTAGGTTGATTTGTTGAATTAGTTATACAGTGGTTTATTGTATCATTGTTTGTCTCTAGGATGATTGAAGAAAGTGCAACTAAGCGGAAGACTATGGCAGAGAAGAGACAGCTGTTCCTAGAACTGCGTGAGTCTTTGAATGCTTCTGAATCCCTTGTTAGTTTATGCTTGAATGCTTTTTCCACCCACCCAGATCAAGTCACAGCTTTAATCAGTTAGAAATTTTAGATTTTAAGCTTTAGAAATTTTAGAGTTTAAGCTTTAAAAAATCATGAAGTTGAAGAACGCCAAGCCAAAGTATATATTTTAGTTGAATTGGTTATCTTAAGCAAGACCTTAAACGTTGTTGTTGTTGTTAAGTGCCGTCGAGTCGGTTCCGACCCATAGCGACCCTGTACAGGGTTTCCGAGGGTGTAAATCTTTATGGGAATAGAAAGCCTCATCTTTCTCCCGCGGAGCGGCTGTTAGTTTCGAACCGCTGACCTTAAGGTTCGCAGCCCGATTCATAACCACTACGCTACCAGAGCTCCACTGTTACCGGCCATCTTTTCTCATGTTTGAATTTTATTTAAGAATATAATTTTCAACAGAGGAATTAAAATTGTATAGAACTAATTTACGAAAAGGATACATTCATTCTTCTTAGTTTATCCTACGGTTCTAAGTATCCTCATAACGCTTAATCCTCTGTATGACGTTGTGGTTAGCAGTCCAGTGCTTATCCTACAGCGCCACATCAGAACTCTGAACCGTAACTAGGGTAAGTTTATAAATTAATTATTTATTACAACCCGCAAGGTCATGGTAACAACGAAGTTACACGAGCTCTAACTTGACTGGCAAGCATTAAAATCACAAATATTCTAGGTAACATTTCCACCTTACTAAGACCTTAAATAGTAACGTCAATAGGGTTAGCAGTTCAGATCCACCAGCTACTCCTTGGAAACCTTATACAGGGTCACTATGAGTTGGAACCGGCTCGATGGCACACTACAACTGTGACAGATACAGGTTATACAGAGGATTAAGCGTTATGAGGATACTTAGAACCGTAGGATAAACTAAGAAGAATGAATGTATCCTTTTCGTAAATTAGTTCTATACAATTT